AAATATATTAATTTGAAAAAATATAAATCAATTATTTTTTCATAATATTAGTTACAGAAAATATGTTTATTAATTAATATATTTTCAAAAAAGAATATATATCTTAAATATTTAATTTAATGCCATTTATAAAGTTTCTTATTTGTCTAGTATAAATTTTAAATAATTAATTTTTATTTTAAAAATTTATTATAATTTTATGATTGCAATTGTGCATCCAAACAGAACATGTGTAATTACACTGTGGCAACCAAACAGGTCAGTGTAATTACTAGACAGTAGAATTACTAGGCTGGTAATTACTACCCTAGTAATTACACCAATTTCAATTATCAGGTGGCTTTCCAAACAGACCCTAAGTAAATAATTAAAATTTTCTTTCAAGTTTGTCACCTTTACTTTACCTCAAATTAAGGGTTATGAACTTGAAAGACATGTGCAATGAAAGATTAATAAAAGTATGAGTTATGAAGAGGATAATAAGTGAGTTAAAGACATAAAATTAATCGATATTATTCGAACAAAAGTTATAAAAATGATGTAAATTATGTAGATGACTTTTTTCACATAAAATATTTAAGAAGAATAAAAAAATTATATTAAAATATTGTATAATCGAGTTCAAAACAATATAAGTATAAGAAGAAGAAGACATGAAGGTAGATGAAAGAGAGAACATTTCTTCAATAATCCTGCTAGCAAGGGTGCACCTAGAGGTAGTCGAGGGGTTCACCCAAAGTCCCAAACTCCCTCGAAAAAAATTATCGTGTATATATAAGGTATTTAAAACAATTTTATATTTATATATTTGATTTTGAACCTATTAAATATAAAATTAGTCATTATTTTAGTGATTAAGCAGTTCAAAACTCACGGTTCCTTATGTCTTTTCTATTCAACATGTTTAAGCCCAGATTCATGTGTGATGTGACTAATAATTTTCTATTCGAAAATGTGGTACAACAATAAAAGCTAGCAATTTTTATTTTATTTTTAAAAAAAATGAAGAACCGTCGTGTAGCTCGTTTGTTCGTTTTATATAAATTTTTTTTTGGTAAATAATAATTCTTTTTTCGTTTTACTTTCAATTGTCCATATATTATTTTGACAGACTCTTAAAAAATAATAAATAAATAAATAATTTTGATAATCATCTCTATTAATTGTAAGTCATTTAAATATTAAAAAATAATCGATCTCCAATAATAAAGGTAAAATAAATAAAAGATACTCCTAGTTCATCTTAATTAAATTATTGGGATATGACATATTCCAAAAATATTTAAGGACAAAATTTTCCACTAAAATTCTTTTAATTATTTCTGTCTCAATCACCTAAAAAATATAAAATTATTAAAGTCTTATTAAATGAAGAATAAATATAAAAAAAATCTTTAAAATCCCAACAAATATGGAAAATAGTCAATTATCTATTGATTTTTATACTCCCTTCGTCCACTTTTAATTGTCATGTTGGATTTTTCGAAAGTCAATTTGACTAATTTTCAAAGTTGAATTAGAATAAATTAAATTCAACATTTTAAACAAAAAAAAAATTAGATATTCAAAATCTATATGAAAAGTACTACAAATTAAAAAAAATTGTATATCAATATTAGTCAAAATTCTTAACGTTTGACTCTAAAAAAAAGGAAATTACGACAATTGAAAGTGAACGAAGGAAATATTAGATAACATAGTTGACCAATTATTTTTACAATATTGAACAAATAAAAACGGAGGGAACATTAATGTGTATTTTTTACCTTAATGTACATCAATACATGATCTTGTAAAATATTGTGTTCTTTTATTATGCCAATATGTCCGTCCAAATACATTTTGATAATTAACTTTACCTCTAATTAAGGAAAATTCATAGCTCCACAAATCTTGGAATTCCAAAGAAATTGGTCTGATTCGATTCATACTAAGATGACAATTTCAGAACATTCTGAACAACTCAAAATTCCCTTAAATTCTTCCAAAAAATTCAGTCTCACTTCTTCTCCTCCTTCAACCTCAACAAAAATGGAGTCTTTACCAAAAACCCAACAACCCCATAAGCGTTATTGGCGTTTCAGCAAGCAAGATTTCTTCCCTGAACCCTCTTTTCACAATTTGGGATCCTACAAAAATGCCCTTTCTCAAACCCCAAATCGTCTCAAGAACCGTCTGTTTGCCCGTTCATCAGATAGCAGTGAATTGATTGAGCTTAAGAAAGAATCGGAAAATGAAATGAAATTATGTTTGACTTGGTGGGATTTAATTTGGCTTGGATTTGGATCTGTTGTTGGTTCAGGGATTTTCAGCATTACTGGTCAAGAAACCCGAAATGATGCTGGACCTGCTATTGTGCTTTCGTATGCAATTTCTGGTTTATCTGCTTTGCTTTCTGTGTTTTGTTATACTGAATTTTCTGTTGATATTCCGGTTGCTGGTGGGTCTTTTTCGTTTTTGAGAATTGAGTTGGGTGATTTTGTTGCGTTTATAGCTGCTGCTAATATTCTATTAGAGGCTATGGTGGGTGCTGCTGGGTTAGGACGTTCATGGTCGTCTTATTTTGCTAGTATTATTAAGAATAACCCGGATTTTTTGAGGATCAAGATTGATTCTTTTGTAGAAGGGTTTAATTTGTTGGATCCTATAGCTGTTGTGGTTCTTGCACTTGCTAATGGGGTTGCTATGACTGGGACAAAGATGACATCTACTTTGAATTGGATGAGTTCTATAGTTAGTGTTGGTGTGATTGTTTTTATTATAATTGTTGGGTTTGTTAATGGGAAGACTTCAAATTTGGTGCCTTTTTTCCCTTTTGGGGCTGGAGGGGTGTTTAAAGCTGCAGCAGTTGTGTATTGGTCGTATACTGGTTTTGATATGGTTGCGAATATGGCTGAGGAGACAAAGAGGCCATCGAGGGATATACCGTTAGGGTTGCTTGGTTCGATGTCTATGATCACTGTTGTTTATTGTTTGATGGCGTTGGCGTTGACAATGATGGTTAAATATACTCAAGTGGATGTTAATGCAGCTTATTCAGTTGCATTTGAAGGCATAGGTATGTATTGGGCAAAGTATTTGGTGGGGATTTGTGCACTTAAGGGAATGACTACTAGTATGCTTGTTGGGTCGTTGGGACAATCTCGATACACAACTCAGATTGCAAGAGCACATATGATTCCCCCATGGTTTGCTTTGGTTCACCCGAAAACTGGAACACCGATTTATGCTACGCTCTTGACAACTATAACTAGTTGCATTCTTGCTCTGTTCACGAGCTTGGATGTCTTGTCAAGTGTGTTCTCATTTAGTACACTTTCCATTTTCATGCTTATGGCTGTTGCATTGCTTGTTAGGCGATACTACGTTACCGATGTTACTTTGAAGCATGATTTGGGTAAATTTCTTCTTTGTTTGTTCATTGTATTTGGTTCATCAATTGGGGCAACAGTTCTTTGGAGTACTAATGTAAAAGGTTGGATTGGGTATGCTGTGACTGGCGTTTTGTGGTTGTTGGGCACTTCAGGGATGGCGCTACTTCCAAAACAAAGAATTCCAAAAGTTTGGGGTGTACCTCTTGTGCCATGGGTACCATCATTGTCAATTGGGATGAATATATTTTTGATAGGATCTTTGGGTAAGGCGGCATTTTATCGGTTCTTCATATGCAGTGTTGTGATGCTAATTTACTACGTGCTTGTTGGTGTCCATGCAACATATGATATAGCTCATCCTGATAAGCAGAAGTCCGTTATTGACGAGGGAAAAGGAAGTTCAGATCAAGTGTTATAGTTGGTATGATCTTTAGATTGATCCATGAACTTTTGCAGTTATCTGGTTTAAGATTCTCTAGGAATCGAATGTACAGCTACTAATGATGTTGGCAAAGTAACTGAATGTTCCTTTTCTTTTTCCCCTGAATGTTTAAAGTTGTTTTTCCAGTTATTGCTGAAATCCCATGACAGGAAATATGCTTTATAAGTTGGAATAGCAACGTTGTCCTTACATCCCGTATCTTCCATATTTTACTTAATTTGATTTATTATTTGTGCAGCACCATATGCATTACAACATTCTTCATTTGCATTGTCTTTGTCATAGAATTCTATTTTCTGCTAACCTATTTGATGACTGGTAGTATACTCATTTATGAGTACTAAGAAACAAGATAAGCACATGTAATGGTGTGGCAATAAAGATGTTGGAGACCATAGTTCCAATTCTAGGTGAGTCCTCCGAATTTGCCTGAGTCTTGATGGGGCAGGGTTATCCGGAGACCGGTACTTGTATTAGTGCAGGTGGCAGATACTCAATTGAGTAGTTAAGGCGGGCACTAGCTGGTCCAACATTATTCGAAAAGATAAAGGAAACAAGATAAGCAATACATGAAGCTCTAATGTGGCTCAAAACAGATACTTTTGCTCATTCATTTTGGTGGGAGTAAATTCAGGATTGGAACTTCAAGATTTCTTTGTTAGAAACTTTCAGGAGTATGGCTATCTTCCTTTGTAGTATGTGTTATGCTTTCTCTTCAGTTGAAATGTTTGAAACTCCCATATGACATTTCATATTCCATTTGAACTGTTACTTGATTGTTTTGTGAGGATATTTTCTACTAGACAATAACTGTTCATCCATGATTTTGTTGTAGACTCGTAGTTTATCATTTCATCTACTACATTTGTAACAATGATGAATGACTAAGCGAGATCTAACACAAATTTGCCAATAGGCATGACTGCTGAACCTCAAGAATAGTTTCCAACAGAAGCTACTAAGCATCAACATATTAGATTTTGGATCCAATTACTCCTAAATGACAGGTCTTTGCTCTCTTGCATCAAGCTAGACTAGGATACAAGAAAAACTAACCTAGAAATCTAAATGCAGCATATTATATTTGGTTAGATGTCATGAAAAAGATTCAAAAAGTTAGCCAAGAAAATTGAAATGGTGAGCAACCATTACTGACATAAGTCTTTGTAAGTGTTAAGAAATAGCTTATTTCTGTCCCTTCTTTCTCCACAGGTCTCCAAGCTTCTTAATACCAGAACCCTTTCTCTTCACACGACCAAAACCATCATCAGAGTCATCGATAAGTCCTGGTGAACCCATGTAACAACCATATCCTCCAACTGTTGGTTCAAATACATTACCGTAGCTCTTATAATCCATTGATCCACTCCTCTCAGAGAGCCTTCTCTCATTCATCTCCACTTCCCCAGCCAGCACAGCTGCAGCAGCATCTGCAGCTTTCTTCCATTGTTCTGTTTGGACTCTGAGTTTCTTCATCTCACTTTCTAATTCCTCCTTTGCCTTTTCGGTGGCTTCAAGTTTCTCATTTAGCGTAGAAGCATCGTTCTTAGTTGTTTCCAGTTCTTGAGTAACTTGGTTAAACTTGAGATTCATTTCCTCTGTTTTTGCCTTAGTGGAGAAAATTTCACGAGTCGTTTCATTCAGTTCCTTCTTCAGGTTTTCATTTTCTTGAAAAAATGCTTGGAATTCTTGATCTTTGTCTGCCAACTTGGCTTTCAACAAGCTTATGTCTTCATTCTTCAAAGCCAGCTCCTCAGGTGATGGTTTATCTGGTTCATCAACTGATAAAGTTGTGATTTTTTCATTAGTGGGCTGGCTAATTTCAACATTTGGGACTTCAAAAACATCAATTTCTTGGATTTTCAATTTGCTCTTAGATTCTTGGATTTCCTCAGTTTCTTGGACAGTTGATTTCTTGGTTTTCTCAAGCTGTTCTTGAACTGCTTTCTTTGCTGCTTCAACTGAAGCTAAATGATCCTTAAGATCTTTCAGCTCTTCTTGTGCTTGCCCAAGTTGAGTATCCAAATCTGCAATTCTTGTACCAAGTTTCTTTTGTTTTACTGGATCAGATTGAGCGCCTCGTGGGGATTTACGATCTCCTAACTTAGGACTTCTCTGATCAGAATCAGAACTTGATGTTCTGAGTTGCGAAGGGACTCGAGGTGATTGCCTTTGAAGCATATCTGATCCCCTATTTGACATGAAATGGATAAACTTTGCTGTCAAAACAATGAGTTGGAATTGGAAAAGAGACTATTACTGAGGGAGATTTAAATGATGCCAAGAACTCACCTTAATCTTGGCATTTCAACTTCTTAATAGAAGTGTTTGAACAAAGGTTCCAACAACTTTAGTCTTGAACTCTGTAAACAAGTCGTTTGGTAGCTGGTTAGAATTATGCAGGTATAAGTTATTCCATCTTCTATCCCCGCATAAGATAATATACCAATTTCCTCATAACTATACATGTTAGTATCAGTTATGCGAGTTTCTAAATTGCAAATCAAACATCATATTAATTTTATACATAAATACCGCATTTCCTAACTAGCTACCAAACGTTGTATTACTACTTATACAAATTAATACACGAATAAGTTGATTCTTTACTAGCTACCTAAAAAGTTGGAAATGTTTTGTTTGTTAATGATAAAGGGAAGAGTTTTCTGCTTAAAGAAGACACATAAACAATCCATAGATAGTGGTGAAGCATGCTTATAGAGCAGAGCAAAAGTAGATTTTCTTGTCCACTTTTCCCTCATGCATGTGTCAATATCATTAAAATATACATCCAACATTATAGTAAGTGATTTTTTTCATCTGTTTAAGTCTTGGTGAACAAATACCTAGTGAAATAGTCGATGCACAAGATAACCTGACACTATAATTAGCAGTTGATTTGTGAAAGATAAAGAAGAAAATGCAAACATTAGGAGATAATCTTGAATCAAGAAAATGAAAACATATTTTGTGAACTTACTTGTTTGTTTACTTAGATGCTCCTCTCCAAAGCCCTTAAAATTTAAATACTATAGTATATATAATTAAAAGAACCATCTACCTTAAAAGAAAAAAAGAACCAACAAAAGAGGATTTTTGAGAATTGAATGTTATAGGACACAAATTTAAGATTTGAAATTGAATATTTGAAGTTTTGAATTAATGATGGTGGCCTTGCAATATTTTGAAGTTGCAAGTGTATGTGTGTAGGACAAGGACTTTTTGAACGTTGAAGGCAGGGAACACTATAAAATGTGTTCTTGGGGAAACAAAGGTAATAATGTCTTCCTTACGCATTTCGTCTGAGATTATTTGTCGTGATTCCTGTGATTTAAAAGGTTTTTAACTAGTATTCGAACAGTCATAACAACGTATTCATAATTGAGGTGTTTCTAGTTTTTACAATCGATACGCTCTCCGTCTTATATTATGTGTTCACTATTCTCCAGTTTACAAGTTTTTTAATCATAAATAAGAAGATAATTTTACTCTTTCGGATCATTTTGTATTTCTCTGTTCCTGTGTCTCAAGAGTTTATGGATAGTAGTGCAGGCATTTAACCTTTGAACTTCTCCCAAGTAATATAAAGTAAGAAACACCTTGAACTTTGAATCCGTGACCAAATGTGTCATATTCTATGCTTTCTCATCAATTTTTTTTAAAAAAGATTTTAATTTTTTTTTATGATATTAAATTAAAAAGGGAAAAGGGTCTGATATACCCCTCAACTTTGTTATTTAGAGCTGATATACCCCTCGTTATGAAAGTGGCTCATATATACCCCTACTTATATACAAATGGCTCACATATACCCTTTTCCTCTAACGGAAATGAAAAAAATTAATTTTAGTTTAATTTTTTATTATTTAAAAATATATATATATATATAATCTCATATGAGTATATTTAATCCTCCTCAAACAT